GTGGGCCGGAGTTTTGCAAATATCTCAGCACTTCATACGAGTTATATTTCACAACATACCTTGCCATTAAGAAGAAAAAGGCAGTAAATAAAAGAGTTAAGATTATGAAGTAATTGTTTGCGCAATACAACAGTTGTTTTAGGCAAGTATACATATCTTATTTGGATTCTGTGAATTTCTTCCAACCAAGAGAATTGAGAACAGAGCTATACCAAGAGATTTTGCGGGGAAATCTCGAGTGAGTTCTATCGACAAGTTTTCTTTGCGTATTCAGTTTGGGCTGCGACATCACAAATGTCGAGGATATTTTGTACCTTTAGCTACATTAAACAGCTTGGATATACTATGGCTCATATTTGGGTATGTTCACCTTCTGACGGTGTTGATTATATGTTTAACTGCCACCCACCTGAGCAAAAGACGCCGAAACCGAAGAGGTTGCGGGTAATTGACAAGGCTTGTTGTTGTGTTTTTTTTGTCTCTTAAAACATCTTATGCGTTCGATCAAGTCATTATTTTCAAGGAGTGGTGCAAAAAAATGTTAGAAAAGGGTGTGGCTGAGAAGACGATCGTCGAGTTCAAGGACATTTACAAGCAAGTGAGCTAAAATTAGAGTTAGGTGAAGGCGTACTGACGTCATCTTCTTCGTTCTGAGATTCTTTTCATGCGTGTGATGGTAATTTTACCACACCAATGAGCTTGCCCTATTTTGATGACGATTTCTGGCCGTATGTAATTGAAAACTGTATACGGTTCGCTCAGTGTTATCTGATTGAGGCAAATTTCTTTATACTTTCGAATGTTGCCACTGTACTTTTAGTGAGGTTGGTGATGAGGACGCTGGGCGTCGTGAGGAAGTTTCGGAGGTAGATGAGGGTGACACATTTCAGTCGGTTGAAAGTGGGAGGAAAAAGCGATATGAAGAATTGGAGCGCCTTTGTTGTTCTTTTTCTCTTCGTAGTTTTTTTTCCAAATTTGCGGTCACTTATTCTAGTTATAATAATAGTTGTTGATATGTAGTCATTTAAAGAGAGCTAGAAATGGTGTGAGAGTGGAGAGGGTTATTTTTTCACTTGTTTTTGCATGTCAAGTAACAAGACGAATGCGCTTGAGAAGAATTCGAAGGCGAATGAAAAAAACGATGGAAGTTTTTTTGATAGTGAGGTGGTCGCTTAACTCTATTCGCAGCTTGAAAAGCATAAAGAGGTTTGTTTTCATTTAGCAATGTAAGTCGAGGGTTAATGACTTTCAGTTATTTCTGATCCTCAGGTATTTTTCCAATAACCACTTGTTCTGGGTTGTCGTAGCTTTCGGCCATGCACTTCATACTTTTCGCTTCTTTTTTTAAAGTTAATGATGGCTTTCATAGGATTTATAAAGATCGGCTTTTGATTGGCTTTGGAATTCAGGAGCTCTATTTTTTGAGTTAACCTAAGGCTGTTAACATGCATTTTATCTCTGACATTTTCGCGAGTTTTTGTTCTTTAGAGCTTAGAAGTATTGTTTTGGAACTGTTCCAGTGAATATTCTGTAGTCCTAATAAACACTTGATTTGTAAACCAAGCCAAATATCTGTCTGTTAAGAGACATTCATCCTTCTACATCCTACAGAGGCGTCAACGTTGTGCTTTTCACCGATAAAACTCGATGTTCCTTAGGCGTTCTTCACGTTCTGGTGACACATCAGTCCGCTCTTTTACTGCCCGATATTGCTGATCCGGATCCACCTGTGGCATCAGATATGATGGATGACCGCAACACGATCTTGGAAAGGGCACGTGATGAACATTGGGAGTTTAGCTTATTGAGGAGAGCAAAGTAGGTGGCTTTGAGCATAACACAAATGCTTTTAAATTCTGTGTAAATAAGTTTGCTAATATTAGCACTTCTGAATCCATACTTTGAAAGCATTTGAGTCAGGAACCATGCTTGCACTTAGAACAGGATGATTTGATGTGCATCGAGAGATAATGTTATTGGTAGATCTCTACACCAACACTAGCCAGTGGTTGTCTATGGTGGGGAACGAACGCGCTATTATCCTTTCCGGGGAGTAACGCGTTCACCACCACACCATGCGCGTGATTTCAACTACAGCCATAGCTTAACTGGGTTCTATGCCGATTTGCGCTCTCCAGATCAACCCCGCTGACGGGTGATTGCTGTGGCAAAAAGATCGATAGAAATAGCTGAGAGATGTGCGAAACAAAGGACCCGCATGGTGTGGTGGTGAACGCGTTACTCCCCGGAAAGGATAATAGCGCGTTCGTTCCCCACCATAGACACCTGCGGTCCAGAGTTTTGCAAATATCTCAGCAACGTTGTGGTTGTATTTCGCTTAGTAACCTGCCATGAAAATTATAGAAGGCAGAAAAGAAAACGTTAAACACTAGCCAGTGGTTCAAAATTTTCTGCTCTTGTCAGCAAATACAAAGAGCGGTTTAAAAGACGGCTTTCAAATGTATTTTTTCAGAATTTTTGCTTTGATATGTTTTCTTTCCTGTGTTTCCTGAAATCCTACTTTAACAATTTGTGAAACCTATCGAGATTCTACAAGTGTGATTGCTACTTTCGGAGGAATCCTTTGCCTTATTGATAAGACTATTTTTTCCCAACTTTTCTTTTTAGATTCTCAACTATGGCGTCATGTCGTGTGCTGCACGAGTCGGATGCATATGGGAGTATGAGTTATACATGTAATAAATCCGGTACTTCCACTGCCAAATAGCATTGTACAAGGTGTGATGTAAGTTAATCACCGATTAGAGTTTCATTAAGCGGAAAGCAAAGCGAAGAACTGAGGCAGACGGAAGTAACCAGCAGATATGAGGATACTGTCTTCATTTTTCCTAATTTTTCTTGCTTATTGCTTTGTTTTGTCGCAGGACTTTGATTTGTGTGACATGTATCGTGAGGCAATCCTGCATGAGCATCCAATGGAAAGAAGTAAGACGCTTCTTGGTGCTGACAGCGGAGATTCTGATGGGACCAAGCATTCTAAAAGAACCCAGGTAGCTCGCGAGGTTGGAAAGTTTTCTTGTTTCCTTAAATTCGTCTTCGGTAGATATATGTTCCCTCATTTTCAGAGTTGTGGTCTGTCTTTGTTGAACGCATGCCAGTGCAGAGACACACGCTGCCGTCTTTTGCCTTGCCACAGATATAAACGCGTTATGAAACACGCAAAGATGTGGAAGAAGCGTGTTGGTGGTTGCTGCTTGTTATGCAAGCGACTGACGTCACTGTCTTACTGTCAGGCTCTTGTTTTGAGTTTACTGACATGCTCTGTTGTCATTTTTTTACACAAAGTGATTTCATTTTATCGTTACCAGATTCTTCCAGGAAATTGGATGCTACAAGTTGCCTAGGTATATGCTGTTAATACTTTTTTTTACATCTGTGCTCATTGACTTCAATATGCAGGCTACAATATGCAGGCTACAGTGCGTTTTGGACCGTACATCTCGACTTCAATGCGCACGCTTTTTCCTGGTCTATTTTGCCGCACAGAATCTTTTTTGGCAAACTTTTTCTTGTCAGTAGACAGTTTGCCGAACATAAATTTTATACTAGGGGTTGTCCTTGGATAAGTACTCTCACTGCGCTGTAGTAGCGAAAAGTATGCTATATTATGCTATAACATATTATGGTATGGTATACTATACTATACCATACTGTTATGTAATATATTGTGAACATATGCCTTCAAAGATCCTCATTTGGTTAGTCGTTGTGACATATTTCCAGGTAGACGACAGCGGATTTATTGAGGAGTAAAACCGACATTTACTCGCTGTCGGGCACGAAGGTGCACTCTGGGAGTGAACCCCTATCTTTGATGCACCCCGGAATGCCCTAGAGGATTCGCGTAATCACAATAATGCACGCTTGTTTGTATATGACTATGTACGTGATTTGTGTCCTGTATATCGATTCGACCCGGTGTCTGAATTCAAGTGACCGCGCATACTTTTATAAAGTGTATGAAGTAAGGGGGAGGATTGGCGGAGTACTGCGAGCACCCGTGGATAGTCCTTTGTCGAAGTGAAAATGGAGGCACTCAAACGAAAAGTATGATGTTCATCATTGGGAACCTAGACCTAATTGAGCACATTGATAAGCAGTGCTGGTTCATCAGAGAGAGGGATGGGTAGTAACTTTATAAGTTCCCTATCCAGTCAATGATTAGCGTGTGGTATGTGCCATCAGTACAGGGACTGGTCTAATTTTCACTCCGTTTTATGCATATCTTGCAATCATGTGAATATTTAGTTGGAATTGTTATGCTTAGATGCTTGGTTTCCATTTTTCGTATTCGTTTAGTGGTTATGTTCAGCAACTCATGCCAATGAACATGCCTTTTACTGTTCTTCTATGCTTTATATAATGGTTAAACCTCATTCGCGGTGTAATTTTGTCTTGCTGGTTTCACGTTATGTTCATTGAAAGCGTTCATGTACTCGGAAAAAATGTAGTGCATTTCAACTCTTTGTTTTCGACGTATCGTTTCAAAACGCTCAAGTACAATCATTTGTATCATTCCCATTCACATGTTTAGTGTATTACTTGTTCGTTTGTAATTTTGTAGCAGACCTCAATAGCAAGGAACATTCTTACATTTTCTCAGCTGAGGTTGTTGTGCCTTAGTGGTAGTAACTAGAGTTCTTCGCTCTGCCGCCTACGAATGAGAATGTTTGTGATATTTGTAATGAACAAATTTTGTTTTAACAGTAGAGCTCCAAGCTCCTAGCAGTCAACGCTCGCTGTTCACTCAAATTTCACAGTAATTCGATCGTTGTTGCGGACCACATTTTCCACAATATTCTCTTTTGAAGAGACTACCACTGATCAAGAAAGTAGTTCCGATTGAAATTTCAAACTAGTGAGCACGATCTCTTCCTTGTTAAGGCCAACATTCTGATCCTTCACTGCGGGTTTTTTTTGCCGCTGGCTGCTTACATTTTTCTACTGAACACTGCTGAAAGTCGGAATAATTTTCAGTGCGACTTTTGATGTAACCGGTAATCTTCACACTCTTTTCTATGTTCTTTCATGACATAACTTGTAAAACGCCATGGTTTTGCTTGGTTATCGCTCTTTCTTTTGTCGCAGTTGCGGTCTTTATATGTTTCATCGAGCATTGAACGAGCAGCAATTAGCTTGCTGTCGCCAATAGTCTAGTCATTTCTTAGAAACTGAATTCCTCCTCTTGGGGAAACATCGGTTTCCGGTGCGAAACACTTGTTATCAAGAGGACAAAATGCTGAATTCAATGGTTAGTTCTAGTCCTATGAAAGTCGTCGGTTTCGGAAGCGTGTTTTTGATTTCGATTGTCTTATAGACTATGAAGCAGAGATGAAAGACGTTGTTATCGAATAATCGGAGAACTGATGGTGTAGTCGTCGGGAGAATCTGAACTGTCGTAGTGTTTCTAAAAGAGACCGAACCTGCCGCTCATAATCCAATGGAATGTTCAAATTCAATTTTCAAAGCCGGGATCTCTAGCGTTCGATTCGTGTTTTCACGTCCACCAATCACGAAGGCCTTTGGACTTTTTTCAGTGAGGGTTTGACTGCTGCTCGAGGGTTTTTGTCCTTACCATGGATGTTGTTGAATGCTGTTTCACCTGGCGAGTCTGGCTAGATTTTCTCGACTTCTTATGGATAGGAGGCGTGGTTGCCGGGATCGACCCCTGTGCAGGGTGTGGATTCCGTGTAAGGAACGGTACCAACGTCACTTCCTTGCCTACCTCCTTACTAAATGTTAATACTATACTTTATAACCGAGAAAAATTTTATGGTGTCACATGTACAGGAGATTAAAATCAACTGAGTGCAACCTCATGTTGTGCTTTTTCATTGATCACATCTGCGTCATGGCAGACTTGATCTTATTTTATCCGATTTCCTTCCCGTATTCATGTTATGCAGCATTATTCTCGTATTCATTTATTTTCGTAAAGTACTTTGGACATACTTCTATGTAGTTGCCCACAGAGGTACTGATAAAGTCATCTTACGCTGTCAAAATAGAGTAATACATAGGTCATCGCCGCTTTTCACAGGCGTTAACTGCAGAGACTTCGTTGAATACCCGACAGTTGGAGCTGAGAAGATTAAGAACGACGTCACCGAACTGGTCCTAAAACGGCTACATTACGAAGTGGTACCGAAAGCGAAGAATTAGAAACGTACTAGTTTACTACTTTTCTTTCCACTCATCAAACACAAAAAGGTGCTTGTGAGAAACTCCCAGTAAACTTGACAACGAAGAATTGGAGGCATTAGTGGAAGCAAAGACGCGAACAACTGTTCGAAAGCATGCAGAACAGCTTGGCGTAAGCACGGAAACAGTTTCACTTGAATCGCATAGAGAAGACAGAAAAAATCGGCAAGTGGGGGCCGCGCGAACTAAGCGATGGTCAAAAAAACGCCATTTCGATGTGCAGTCTCTTGTTATTCTGCGCAATAAAAACGAACCACTTCTTCATGATTGACGTGCGACGAGAAATGAATTCTGTGCCACAACCCGCGACGTTTAGCTCAATGGTCGATTGCGACCAGGCTCGACAACACTTACCTAGGCGGAAACTGCCCCAAAGATGTTATGGTGGTTGTGCGGTTTCTTCTTGATAAGAGTTACGAGTGACTCGAGCGAGTGTGCATAGGAATTGTTGGTTCTTATATTAGCACTCGTCGTTCCCATCGCATCGAGAGGAATCGACGAGAGTGGACCACTGCACCAATGAAGTATCGTCCTTAGCGCTACCACTTTATATAGGATTTTAGCTGCGCCGAACTGAGCTGATCTCACCCACAGTTCTCCATAATAAAGGACATCCCTTGAGCGATTTTGGATGGAAATTATTTGCTTGTTTGGTGATAACCCACATTGTTAGTGTACAGGTCCAATGAATATTTTAGGTCGTCTCATTCATTTCATCGCGTGATAAGTCTGGGTCAGGATTTACACACGAAGACTTCTGAATTCCGAACCCGGAATGCTATTCATGTGTGGAAAGTGTTAGGTTCTTCTTAATTCAACAACGTCAGTTAATACTCATAAGACATTTCTCAAATGTTCTATGTATGGTTGGCAGAGCACTTCGGATGGGCTGAAGTGGCGTTCCACATGTGAGCGGCGCATCACCTTTATCACCTATAGTCCCGTTGATCGTCGAGTGACTCCTGCGAGCGCCAGTAAATCTTCCATTTTTCCCTGTCGCGTGCAGGAGTAGCCCAGTGGTTTTTGCTGACTCTAGGGACCCATTGAGCATCATATCTTTCTTCTAGGCTTTTCGTGAAAAACTGACCATCGAGTCGGTGGTCTTCCTGCAGTGTGTTTAACATCCTGAGGAATCCACTCACTAACGGCTGTTGTCCATCGGCTGTCATTTATACGCATTACGTGTCCGGCCCACCTTATCTTCGACTGTTTGGTTTACAGAACGGCATCTTTGATTTTTGATCGTTGACGCAGATCGGAGCTTCGGATCCCATCCCTTACTTGTGTGAAACGGGATACTCCTACCATCGTGCTTTCGACTGCGCGATTGATAACGCTGAGTGACCTTTCGTCCTGCTTACGCAGCGACCAGGTTTCTGACGCACACGTTAGGGTAGGAAATACCGTTGAGTCGAAAAGGTGGGCACGGAGTCGGGTGTTCTTTGTTCTCTTCGCTACCTCCTCGATGCTCTTGAAAGCTCCCAAGCTGCTCGTTTTCTTCTGCTCAGCGCTGGAGCTAGGTCGTTCATCATATTGATTTCCCGACCTAGATAGATATAACTGGAGCATTCGTAGATATTCGTTTCGTTGGGCGTGGATGTGCATAGGAAACTAATTCGTTCCTCATGAACATCGTTTTTTTGAGATTTAGTCAAAGACCAATCTTTCCACAGGCTTGATCAAAGTCGGGAAGCATACGTTCCGCTTGTAATGTTTATTGTTATAAGGACGATGTCATCAGCAAAGCCAAAATGGTGTAACTGCCGACCATCGATTTTCGCTCCTGTATTATCCTATTCTAATGTTCACATGACGTTCTCAAGGGAGGCGGTAAATATTTTTTTTTCAAAAAGCTAGAAAAACAGGATGTCGATGCACCGCGTAATCGCTCCAATGTGGGCCAACCTCTTGGCTCGAAAACAGTCTTTCGACAACCAAGTTTGCTTATCAAGATTTTTTATTGGCACGTGCTTACTAGCATTGACTTCTAACTTTATTGGATTTAAAATCAACTTTCCTGGCACTCGCTTTGCTAGAAATTTCTAAAATCTGTGCTAAAAATAATTCTCTTGAAAATTTCTCTATCGTTACGCCCTTTCACCGCGTTGGTTACCAACACACGCTTGTATTTCGGCCCCTTTAACCAGCAACTGAAGCACTAGGACATGTACGCGTATTAGATAACAACCCTGTTCATTCACCTAAGTCTATCTCTTCATCTATTTATTAAACGGCAAAAAATCACGTGCATCTTATTGTGCGGATCCCAGCTGTTCTTTCATTCGATTTCCTTCACCACATCCACTAAACGCCAAGGTTTTCGAACACTTCGGGTGTGGGTTCGGCTACAGCTTGAGCAGTGTCTTCTTTTTTGTGAACGCTGTTGTATGCTGGTCGTGTTAACTGCAGAGTTTGAGCTGTCCTAAGAGAAGTCCGCTACCAATATATTACCGACTTGAAAGCCTTGCAAGTTCATCGAGATAGTAGAAAAAACGAATAAGTTTTCCAAATCTATTTATCACTACACTATTCTTCAAGAGATCAAGTAGGTTTTGCTCATACTCGTAAATTAATCGCTGTTTTAGTCATGAAGTAACCGTGGCAAGACGTTTCCAAGTGGATCAGTGGGAGTTACCTTGCCGTAAGCAAATCTGCCAGCGTTTCTTCGGCCCGAAAGGTTTGGAGAGCTCGGCGTAATTTTGAACCAGCGTTTGGGTAGGATGGTCGTCGATGCGATGAATGTGATCACCACTGTGGCGCCACTCACTTTTGTATTGTTATTTATAGAGTTCGTTCATGAAAAATTAGTACCTTGGACCCTTGCACCCAACTCGAGAATTTACGTTAACTAGCAAGGCTAAATCATCCGAAAATTGCACAAGACCTTCAGTATTATAGTCCTCGAATACAAACTGATAATCTTATGTCTAATTCTAACTCTCCGTAGTCCAATTCGGAACGCTCCAGCCCTGCTATCTCAGGAATCCAGAAAGAATTGCTTGACCAGCATCAGAAGTGCTGGGGTCCACACAGTAGACGTTAAGACGGGTCATATAAAATAAAAGTCTAATTTTGCTTATGCTAAAAATTTTTCTTGCCTAGTCGGCGGTTGTACCCATATTTACCAATGCTCGAGATTTATGCACGTATATATGTATATATATATATATGCATGTGTATATATATATATATATATACATTATTCAGTAGCCCCATTCATAAACCTACTAGGATGTGTCGGTAGGCAAAAACTATTATGTGCAAGCTGTAGGTCATTTTGTTTCAAATAAGACTTGACCAACAAAAACTTTTCGTCTTAAGAGCGTGGTGGATTTTTGTCAGTTTTCCCAAAGTGGCTATTAAGCCCTTATTCGAAAGAGATGGCTAATGTGTTTCTGTTACTGTCTGAACAGCATAGTGCAAACGTAGCGCATGAGAACCGTCGATCTTATTAAGAGGAAATCACCAATTTTCATACGACTATTTGGTATGAAAGGGCGCCTGTGGCGCAGTGGTTAGAGGCGCCACTGCAACGCACGCGTGGAATCGATCGCACGTCCATGGCCCACCAAGCCTTCCATCCCTCTGGGATCCGCAAATTGGTACCAGACCTATCTGGGAGGATAACAACACTGGCTCGATATATCGGTTAGCCACCGCGAGTCATTGCAAAGGCCAGACGTGCATTAAATCACCTCCAACGATTCCTAATGAAGTTGAATGCATGGTGCATCCCTCAGGGATTGATCAACGCCGAGAGCTTTATCCTTTATTTTATTCGTCAAGCACGCATTTTCTGTAAAATGTCATATACGCGATTTGGAGTTATCTCTCTTCGAATATTTTTTTAGGAATGAATTCAAATTATGTCTAGAAACACAGACAAAATTCCTTCCAAATTTATTTGTAAAAGTGAGTTCTTGCAAGAACTAGAACGAGGCGCGGTAACCTACAAAAGAGTAGGTGAGGATGAGAGAGCAGGATCGACTCACGTATTACTTATAAAAACAGAATTCTCTGCTAAGGATATTAAATTTTCTGTCCTATAATCCCCACCACCACACCAGACTCCCACATGGCAAGTTCAACGCCTCCTTTCGAAATTTCAAAATAGATCACTACCAAGAATCACCGCTGTCCCGGTATTAAATTAGTCTCAAGGTCGCAAATCCGCCTCTGACCCCGTATCGATGATTTGTATCTGCAGTCCAGTGACGCGGAAAATTTGACCACGAAAGAGGAACGTCGCACACATAAGCTTAGAACAATTGCTCGAATCCATTTAGATTTCATTCTCTTTTCATGGCTTGAACCAACAGCAGTATCACCCCGATGTAACCTACTTACATTCTTAGGGTATCTTTGCGGTCAAAAACATAATGAAGACGGTAGAAGATGCATCTGATGAAGATAAAGACAAATAATATTCTTGTATAGGTATTTAACTATTTAATTCTTGGCAAAGCTTCCACCGAAGACACCTGCGGTTCGGAGTTTTGCAAATATATCGGCATCATTGTAGCTGTATTTCTCATAGTACCCTGCCGTGAAAAATTGTAATAGGCAGCAAATAAAAAGTAAACATTGTGATTTCAACTACAGATTCAGCTTAAATGGGTTCAATGCCAATGTGGGATTCAATCCCGTTGACGGATGTTTGCTAACGGTAGTGATCGATAAAAGTAACTTTCGTTTTCAAGCGAAATGAATAACCTGCATGGTGTGGTGTAGAACGCGTTAATTACCGGATAAGTAGGCAGTAGCGCGTTCGTTCTTTACCGCAGATACGTGCGGGAGTTCTGCGAAGGTTGTATTGCAGTGGTTGTATTACAAATAATACCCTACTGAGAAAAATTGTGATAGGCAACAAATAAAAAGTTAATGTTAACGTATACTGCGAAACGAATAATGGTACATACTATTCGATAAGTTTAATTGAACAAGTTTGAGAGACACTTTTT